AGCAGGACTCTGAAAGCAGAAAGAGGGGGCAAGTTTGTGTTGGCATGATGTTTTAAAACCTACAATCTTGTTGGGTAACTTTTCTGTTTGGTTAAAAATATAGGCTATAGTTTGGTGTGTCTTTTTGGAAGTGTTCTTTTTTTTTAAATGTTAAAAATAAACTTCTAAAAATATCCCATTATTTACACAAATAGCTTATTTCAATTTGGTTATTGTCTCCCTCTACCAAAAAGCACAAAGCAATTACTCAGAGAGATAATTGTGGGGATCAGAGGAACTGAGGACCAGTACTTCCAATTCCAAAATCTCCCGCTATCACAGCAAACCAGTATGCTCCCAACTGCCAAACACAAAGGATATGCAGGGGAGGCCCAGCACCAGGCTGAAGGCAAAGGCTGGAAATATCAGCAACTTGAAAAGAGAAGGTTGATTTGAGTTCGTGAAACTATTTATGAAAGCTCTCCTAAGCAGTTCACTGGAATGTTTAATGGGAAATAAGAGACATATCCCAAGAAAACTAGAAACTGAGCTCTCTTGAAATAAAGGGCAACTCGAGTCAGAATCCAGGTTGTCATCACTTGTGCTGGGCACCACAACCATGTGAGCCTCTGTTCTCCCTCCCTCCCTCTCTGCCTGCCTACCTGCTTCCCTCCCTCCCTCCCTGCCTCCCTGCCTACCTTCTCTCTCTCCCTCCCTGCCTCCCTGCCTACCTGCCTCCCTCCCTTCTTTCTTTTCTTCTTTTTAATTTGTACTGCTAGGAGTCACTCCTAGGCCTCATGCCTGCAAAGTATATACTGTACTACTGAGCTACATCCCGCTGAGCTTCAGAGTTTCTGTCCATCAAATTCCATCCACAAAATGCTGTGAGGGTGAAATAATAAAAATACAAGAGATGGGCTAAGCACATGGACTACTGGACTCCACAATTATATTTTAAACTGGAATTGGAACAATCAAGATGGCTGTTACAGAGATGGAATCCCGGCAACTGAATCATAGAATTGAATAAAGATATACAGAAAATACCAACAAGTTACACAGAGATACGCAGAAAATATCAATGTCCTAGTTAGGGAAAACTTCAAGTCTCATCATTAAAGGGGTCACAATGCACTTTTTGGTTTTTAGAAAGAGAAATTTAAATTATTTGCAATTATAAGATCCAGATGAGTGTTTTTAAAAATCCAAACTATATAGCCAGGCATTGGTAGCACATGCCTTTAATTCCAGCACTCAGGAGGCAGAGGCAGGTAGATCTATGTGAGTTCGAGACCAGCCTGGTCTACAGAGTGAGTTCCAGGACAGCCTCCAAAACAATACAGAGAAACCCCATCTGGAAACCACCCCAAAAAATTCAAACTATAGAAACTATAGGAAAAAATCTAAAAGAATGCTAAAATTATTTAATTGAATTGCCACAGAAAATCAAAACATTTAATATATATGCTAAAAATTTCAAGATTTATTCAAGGTTCAAACTTCACTATATGTTTGCAAGAGATGTATGTCATTGAGATTGTACAATTCACATTACATGCTGCTGAAGGTTTGTTCCATTAAGTAAAGCTATGATAAAACCTTCCATACAAATTATTATTAGTATTATCCCTTTTAGAACTCATCTGATGGCCTGCAGACCACCCCCACCAACAGTTACTCAGAAAACCCCAGAGGAAGGTAGGGTTATCATCCTAAACCTGGTCCAGGATAGAGTCTTGGTGAAAAGCCAGGCTCCCAGACTTGTTAGCCCTGGATTTGAGACTCAGGTTTGACATCCAATAGCTGCACCAGAATGGACAAATGCCTCAGCCATTACAAGACTCTGCCTCTTTGTCAAATGGGAATAACAATTAAACCTAACAGTTCACTGCTAAGATGAGATAATGCCTGTGAATCACTGAGAACAACAGATGTGTTGGTTACTTTTCTCTTTGTTGTGACAAAAGCAGCTTAAGAAAGGAAGAGCTGGGACTGGAGAGATGGCTCAGTGGCTAAGAGCATGAACTCCACTTCCAGGGAACCTGGGTTTGGTTCCCAGCTCTTAAGTCAGTCAACTCACAACTACCTGTGACTCCAGGTCCAGGAGATCTGATGCCCTCTTCTGGAATCTATAGGTGCTACACTTACATGCACGTATCCACCCATACACATATACAAACAAAATTTAAAATTGGTTGAAGGTTCTGTTTCCCAGATTCTCTGACAATGGGATTGTAGCCTGGCACTCCCCTGATCCATGTCTAAAATTCATATATTAGTGAGTACATACCATGTTTGTCTATTTGTGACTGGGTTACCTCACTCAGGATGGTTTCTTCTTGTTAAGAGAAGCTTTTTCTTTGAGAGAAGCCTTTCCGCCCGCCTGGTTCCAGATCCGCATCAGTCCCAAATAAGCACACAGGAGGCTATATTAATTATGAAGCTGTTGGCCTTGCTTGTTTCTAACTGGCTAGCTCTGACTTAAGCAATTACCCCATAATTGTTAATCTAAGTATGTTTCTTACCGGAGAATAGTTCCAGGCTTCCTACCCCCATGGCGTTACATGTTGACTCTCTTGTGTTTCTCCTTCCCAGAATCCTCCTGGACTCCTAGCCCCACCTATCTAGATTCCTATTGGCCAGCAGTAATTTATTGACATATACACAGGACTTCCCCAACATCTTCTAGTAAAATGTGGTACATTTATACAATGGTGTACTATCCAGTGGGAAAAAAATGGGATCTTAAAATTTGCAGGTAAATGTATGGCACTAGAAGAAACTCTGACATTTAAATTTACCCATATTTTTTATCTATACTTTGCCACATGGCTTTGTACCTTTTCTCAGTATGGCATGCCCATCTTACTTCTTCCTGCATCTGCTCCAGACTCCAGATTCCACCCTTCCTCATCCCAACATTCTGTGTCAGGCTCTCTTGCCCAATCTCTTCCTGCCCAGCTATCAGCCAATCAGCTTTTTATGAACAATGAGAGCAATACATATTTATAGTGTACAAAGATTATTCCACAGCAACAACTTAGGAGTCAGTCCTCTCCTTCACAGGATGGGTTCCAGGGATCAAACTCAGGTCATTAGTCTTCAATATCCCTGAATCATCTCAACAGACTTACCATCACTTATTTCTACAAATTCGGAACCTATAGAAGAGTCATCTCATACAGATATCACAGGTACCAGAAAAAAGCAGAAAGTAAGAGATCTGATTGGTTGGCTTTGCTTAGGGCCAATGAAATGCTACTCTTATCTTCTTAATAGAGTAGAACTTAATCTCAAACTATTGTGACCACTAAATGCTAACAATATTTGGATTTCTCAATTGTGATCTTCCACATGAAGAAGTCAGGCTTGATGATGACTCTGTGACACTGGAGGTATGTAGTAGATGAGGCCATGAAAAGCTATTGGCAAGAACTTCCCACAAAAATATGAAAACAGCAAAGATTCAAAGTTGTAGAAATAACATATGATAAAGAACTGGAAGTTCTCTCTGGTCTTGCCTTCTACAAAAATCCTTACATCCTACTAAACCAGCAGTTGTCAACCTCTCACAGTGGTCACCTAAGATTACTGGACAAAACAAATGTTTACAATATGATTCATAGCAATAACAAAATTACAGTTATTAAGTATTAACAAAAGTAATTTTAGGATTAGAGGTCACCACAGCATGAGGAACTGTATTAAAGGGTCACAGTATTAGGAAGGTTAAGAACCACTGCTCTAAACTCTACTTAATGTGGAAGAGAAGATAGTGGAAGAACTAACTCCCTTATTCCCTAGCTGGTTAGTTTTTGAGATAACATTGCTTCAGCCTATGAGCACATCCTAGTTGCTTTCCTGTTGCTGCAATAAACACAAAGTTGTGATAATATGTTCATTTGTTTTAAAGGTTGCAGTCTATCATTGGGAAAGGCCAAAACAAGAACTCAAGACAGGACCTTAAGGCCAGAGATGAATGCTGCTCACTGGCTTTCTCTGCTTGCTTTCTTACACAACTCAGAACTACCTGTCTATGAGTGATACCACCACATCAACCATTAATCAATAAAATAACCCCACAAACATGGCAATAGGTCAGTCTGATGAATGCAATAACTCAACTAAGGCTCCCTCTAGAAGAAATCTCTAGCAGGAAAATAACCAGGGCAGGACACTGCTTATCTTTTCATGAATACAGCAGGCTTTCATTATTTATCCTGCATAAACATTGTTCTAGGAACTAAACATGCCAAAAAAAGTAAAACTTGCTAAGGTACCATCATGAAACAATAGTGAGGCATAGGGAAACCAATAGCACACATGCGTGCAAACACATTTCTGCACTACAGAATGACACGTGCAATTGCTAAATGTGAGGCACAAACAATGTCTATGGATTCCAGAGTACAGAAGGCCAGAGGGGAAACTGAGGCTACACGGGTGCATACGTTGTATACTATGGTATTTTTGTCTGAAGAAGGGAGCAAGAGCTTGCAAAGCCACCAGTTTAGGTGAGGACACAGGAAGAGGGAAGGTGCTGTGATGTGATGACAAGCATAGCTGAGCGTCAGAGACCAGAGGGATAACAGGGAAACAGTCATATGAAAAGAGATGTTGGGAGATGCCACAAGTCAAATCACAAACACTGAGTATGTCCTTCCAAGTATCTGTTTTTAGGGAAGACTTTCTACAAGAACAAGCAACATTTGGCCAGAAAACTTTTTGTGCACTAATAACTAATAGCAGAAGTATATAGATGAATAGGAGGGGAAAGAATGCCCAACAATTATGACTTCAATCAAGTAAAATTGGTTGTCAGTTGTTAACAAAGAGGTAAGGCACAACATTTGCTCTCTTAGCTGATGCTGGCTGTAAGTGTTACAGTCTTCAGTGAATACAAGGCCCTCTGATTTTCTAGAAGTGCATGGCAAATGTTTAAGGAAGACAGGTAAAAAGCAAGGCATTTCTTGCTCCCCACCCTTGATAACCTTAAGGCTGAAAAAGAAAATGTCACTCACCTCTCCACGCCCACACAGAGTCCTGAACTCACACTGTTGCCAGGGCTGTGGTGGTAATCTCGTTTTCCTTTCACAGGATGCAAGGCAGCATAATCACCTGTGAGTAACTTCACACTGAGGACTCATGTTTCAGAGCCGACTCAGGAGCATCCAGAATGAAAGCAGTTCATAGTCCCATGCAGGGTCTCCAGTTACTGGGAATGAATCAAACTTGTTGAGGAAGATGAAGGGGCGGGGGTGCCCAACTGGAAGCTGCTGGATTTCTCCGTTCCTCCTCTTCCTGTTTCTCCTCCATGTCTCCTACTCCTACTTCTTCAGAGTCATAAGTTACTGCTCCATCATATTGTAAAATAAGTATCTATAAAATGGGAGCATCAAATTTTTGTGCAATTAGTTGGGGAAATTTTCAAAGCTGTCTGTACATATGCAATATTTCCCAGTTGCCAAAAAAAGAAAGGGAAAAAGAAAGAAGGAAGGAGAGAGAGAGATGCAACTGAATGTCTAACCCAAACTATACACAACTACAAGGTTCTAGACCTTGACTCAGTGTTTCACACTGAGTGTGATTTAACCATTTCCACAGCCACACGATAAATGAAATCACTGGGGTAGAACAAAGCAAAAGCCATCTCCAAGACTCCAAACGAATAAATGACAGTCAAGATTTAAATCCTGACTCTCTCTCAAGAGAAGTCTACATCTCTAACACCACATTAGAAAGCCGCACAGAAGAAAGGTGACCATAAATCTCTACCTATGGGATAGATTACTTTTTACCAAAACTTCTTGAGGATGTATTATTCAAACTTATTATTGTATCTTTAAGGGTAATTACTGAAATCCACCCTAGTATGAATGAAACGCCCAACTCAAGTGTGCAAGGTGAGAGCATGCATCCATATGAGTGGCTTGATTACTATTCCTATACACCAATGCCTGTCCCGCCCCTGAATATCAGGGCTACTGGACCACTGGTCTTGAACAACACATGATCCTCTTAGCCATATTCGTTACTGAATCAACAAACTGCTCACCCACCCTGTGGACATGTGTAGTTGGTATACTCTGTCACTCACCCTTTGGGCGTGTGTAGTTGGTGTACTCTGCCACAACACTGAGGATTTACCTGTTTCCATTGTTTTCTGCAAAGAAGGTAAATGCCAACTAGTGCACAGTGCCCATGGGGTTATGTGAAACTTCATGAGGCAAGACTCTAAAGCAAACTCTATTCTTCAGGACTGTTTCCAGGGCCCTCAACATGTCACATTGCCCTGCAAAGTTGGGAATGCAAAAACAAAGGCTTCCAGTATCATTTCCATTTCTAAGAAGACTGAATTAACGTTGCCAGGGAAACAAAATCTCAGTTTCCTATTAAATTCACTTTCAGCTTACCTGTTATACCTCTCAAAGCTGGGCTGAAACATAATAAAGGAAGGGAGCTGGGGACATTTTTATTAAAAGTTCTCAGAGCATGTATTTCCCAGGTAAAGATAATCCAATGAGAATAGATTTGGGTAGCTCTCATCCACCCAGACTTAGTGTGTACTATGGGGGTGGCAGGATTGCCATTGGATGACACCCTCCAGTGTACTTCTCACCATAACCATGGAAGTACTGGCCTCGGAAATTTCTCATCTCCATTTCCAGTGGCCACAGTTGAACTCAGAATTCTCTGTTAGAACGTGTAAGCTATGTGCAGGAGCCAGCAACAGAGCACAGAGGACTGGGACAAACCATTCGGAGTCTGAGTAGCACTGAGAGAGGAGAGACCATGTGGGAAAGGGAGGAAGAAGGAAATCGCCTGGTGGTTAAGGCTGGAGCACGGAAGGAAGTGATAATGTACGGCATAGAAGACACCGGGACTGTTGTCGAACTCAAATGAGGATGCATCTATGCAAACATGGGATTTTCTCTCTCTTAGCCAGAGAGCTCTGCTGTCTTCAGTCAAAACTGCAAAAATTGCTCAGCATGATTTTGTTAGTATATGCTCACTCCCAGATACTAATCCACCACCAAACCCAAAGAGGTCCATGTTTTCCAAATCTCAGCCAAAACATTGCTGCTCAGGTACACCCACCCCAGATCTGCAGACTAGATTTAATTCATGTTACAATCTCTTGAAGCTTTGCTCACATTTTCTTCAAATCACTTACCATTAGAAGCTACATATTTCTATCCTTCTTCCTTTCTATTTCCCCTTTATTAGACTGCAATATTCTTACTATTTAAAAAAATATGCTTCTGGTCAGCAGTGTGTTCTCTGTTTCTACATGGAGCCTGGCACCATAGTAGGTACCCAGTTAATATGTGTTGGCTAAATGAATGTACCCCAAGCATATATATCCAAAAGTAACAAAACTATCCCATAAGAAACAAAGAAAGTGAGTGAGGGAGAAGGGGAGGGAGAGGGAGCTGGGATTGACATGCGAAACAAACTTGTTTCTAACTTAAATTTTAAAAAAGGAAAAAAAAGAAACAAAAAAAGCAAGCCAGCCTAGCCATTGAGAGCCTTTCCTAGTGGGTACCCATTTCCTAACAGTGTTGCTCAAAGGGTGAACCAGATAGTGTCAGTCTATGAGTTTGAAATAGCCTTATCTTCCACATATAATAATGTGGTCTCTGTGTTTAGCTTTTTTTAGTTTATAAGCGTGATAAACTTTCAAAATGATATTCTTAATAACTTCCTGTGAGAAGATGGGGATGGCGGGGAAGTGGGGGTGGGGAGGTGGGTTGTTGACTTCAGCCAAGGATCACTTGTATTTCCCGAGACTGGAAAGATTTGGACCTCATGAGTAAACAGCCTGTTGGATAAGACACAGAAACCTCAACGCTTGGCAACATCCTAGCAGGTTACAACCTCTGGCCTTACCAACTCAACTTGAGCACTTGAATGCTGTTTCTATCCCCTCAGCGTTTCTGAAAACGACCTCCTGCTGAAAATGGGCATCCAGAATCACGCGGAGAAGTGCTACAGAGCCCAAGAACACGGACTTGAGAATTAAATCCAGCAGCAGTGAGATGCATGTGAGAACATTTAAATAATTAGGTTGGGTCTTAGCATTAATCCAAAAATAGTCTGTTCATTTCCTTCATCCCATTTGTAGTATTAAAATAATGAGGGAAATGTGTCCAGAAAAAAATGGGGCACACAGAATTCCCTAGAGTCAATCTGTAAAGCCACCCTGACGACCGAGCTTTTCATCAACATTCAGAAGGACACTAGGAAGCACAAGGGAGCCGGAAGTCACCACCGGAGCCATGCAAAGTCTAGGGTTTCCTGAGACAGAAGCAAAAGGAATGCTGAGTCAGTGAGCTTCCTTGACTTCTGGCTTCTACTGAGCTGAATAGCCTTGGAGGAATCTCTCCACCTCTCTAAGTCTCTGCTCCCCAATTTTAGAAATGAAGACAATAGCATGCCTGCCTTCCAGCACTACTGCAAGACAAAAGCCATATGAGGAAGACTCCAACCTGCACCTGCCCACAGGCAGTTCATTCGTTCATTCTACTGGGCATTTTTCTACAAATTGTCTTGACCCTGCACTTCTATCTCTGTTACAGAAATGAACCAATTTTGTATCATTTATTTGTACCACCAACTCGTATATTTTGCTTTAATCAGTAGTACCATTCTTTTGACTTTAACGTATCTGTGACTGTAATAGTTTGAATCAGAGTAATTGTGCATTCAGTCTCTGAAAACAAGGGGAAGAGATAGGGGGGAGAACGTGCACTGGAAGAACAGAGAGTAAATGAGGACAAGCAAATCCCAGAAGCAGATATAAAACCATATTTGATTATAAGCATGTGATAGAGGTCCTGGTCTACCCAGACAGCCATGGTGGTAGTAAGTGATAAATACAGTTGGAAAGGCTCCTACATGTCTGCTTTTCTCTGTTTCACTCCTCTTGTCCACACCCACTTCTCTTTAACTCCCTCTCCAGCTCCTGAATCCACGATCCCTGCGCCCCCTCCATAACCAGTTACATGAACTTTGATCCCTGGTGCGGAGTCATTTCAAATCCTCTCTTTGTCCAGCCCCAGAATCCCCCCTTTATGTCTGAACCAATTTGACCCCCAGTTTCTTCTCATATAACCTGTCTTCAAAAGATTCCTCAGCATAAGACTGACTCAGTTTGCTTCCCGTCCCTGTTCTGTCTGTCGAGAGCTCGTTCCTGCTTCCTATCACCTTGAACAGGAGGACCAGGAAAATGTCCTCTTGATGATGCTTGCGTATCACAAAGCTGACCACTCACTCACTCTATCACAGACACGTTCAAATGTAAATCTTGATCTACACCCTGCATGAGCTATACAGGTATAAAACCTAGGTGTTGACCATGGAGGAATTTACACAGGATTGTCGGGGAACACAGATATGGTAACGATGGGGTGGGGGGAAGTCCAGCCATTTAAGTTTCATTTGGATATAATATTATAGAGTATTTATCTGGATGCAAACATGCTGGAAATGCATGATCTCAGGACGGTTAATTCTGTGATTTACTTTCAGAGTTCTGCTAAAATGAAAAAATTTTGACTTGCTAAAGTCAAGTATACCAAGTATATCAAAATGGCCAGAGACACCCTCCATAATGGAGACTGCACAACACAGAGGATAAAGTACAACTACAGGACATTTTAACAATCTCAGTGGTTCTTTATTATTTATCTATCTTGAGAATAGCAAGCACTTTAACACTCTAAAATTCAATTATTCACACTGACACATCTTAAGATGCAAAACCATAGGTTTTCAATATTTTTAAAGTCAAACATTTAAAATTCTAGAAATAGTAGAATCAATTCACACTGTTAAACAGTTTGGATATCAGCATTTCTATGATATAAACAAAGCAGGGCTACTGGTCAATAAAGAAAGCTGTATTATTTAAATAACTGAATTGACAAACTAAGAAACTACATCAACTTTGCTTATTTAGGATCAGTCAATAAATAGTATGTATACAGTCCCTAGCTTAAGCTGCAAAGGGGAACGCTTAATCAAAACTGCAGTGGCCTTGCTACCCTCTAGTGTGGTCTGAAAGTCTCCCTCACAGGTTTGTATAACAGAATCCTGGTCGCCGGTAGGATAAGAAAAGAGGTGTTGGGATTGTTGAGTTGGAGACCCTGATGGGGAGCCGCTGAAGGTACTGACCTTGGCTATGGTCCTAGTGGAACCGTAGTTTTCCCAATACTAGCTTCCAAGAAGAGTAGAGAATTACCTAATTTTGTATTTTCAAACACCAAAACCTTTCCTCCAAAAAAAAAGGTTCTTTCTTTATACATCACATAGCCTGCAGTATTTTGCTACATTAATGAGAGACAGACTTCAGCTGGGAGACCAACTTCAATGGCTCA